GCTGATACCAAGGCCTCGTTTTAAGAATGATGTTGGCAACAAATGTACAAACATGCTTGACACAATGGATGGATGGATGGTGATAAGCGTTGGACAAGCCCCAAATGAAATGATTAAATTAAAAAAATATTTTTGAACCATTTAAATGCATGCTTTTAAAATGCATTCTTTAAAAAAATAATATTTAAATTTTAAAAGAAAACTATAAATCCTCTATTATAATAGTTCCAAGGCTAGGCATTCCCACACTTCTCATTGTCAGTTTGTCCTACTGGGGTGGCTTGAGTCTTGCTGTGATGCTGGAACAACGCCACTGGTACTTACAACATCAGCAGGGTCACCCGGGGAGAACCGGTTTCAGCAGTACAAACATTCTATCACGAAGGAACACACTGTCCATTTCTGAAGGATTAGTCACTGAAACCCTTTTGAACAGCAGCAGCACATTATCAAATATAGTGCTGGAAGATGAGACCCTCGGGTTGGAAGACACTCGACATTGGACTGGGGAAGAGTTGCCTCCTTGAAGTAGCGTTCACCTGAAGGGTGTGGATAGAGTACAGCTGCAGGGATCATCACTGATGATGAGGCACACGCAAAATGAGAAGAAATAACAGTATACGTCAATTAGTAAGCGAAACATGGAACGTAGGGAATGTGAATCAAAGGAAATTGGAGACTGTCAAAATGAAATGGAACACAAAAAGATAGATATCCTATGTGTTAGTGAGATGAAATGAAACTAGTATTGGCCGTTTTGACTGAGAAAATCATAATATGCGACAGATGATAAATTCAAGAGTGGACTCACATCCCCTTAAAGAACGATCATAAGGAAGAGATGAGCCAGTGAGGGTGCAGTACAGCACCGATGAAACATACAACTTTCCTCTAGTTCTTTAATGCTTCCTCCCACCCCCCCACTATCATGACCTCAATTCTACCTTACAAATCCGACTAGACCAGAGCATGTACACAGGTACAGGTGAGAGCAGGAAACACACGGAATCCTCAGGACCAATAATGAGAGTAGTGATACCAGGAGGTTAAGGGGAAAGTGGAGAGGACAGGAGGGAACCGATCACAATGATCTACATATAACCCCCTCCCAGGGGTACGCACAACAGGGTAAGACAAAAAAAATAATAACAACTGACAAATTATCAAGAGTTTATGAGGGAGGGAGGGGGAAAAATGAGGAGCTGACACCAAGGGCTCAAGTAGAAAAACGTCTTGAAAATGATGATGGCCACAAATGTATGAATGTGCATGGCACGATGGATAGATGATATATGAATTGTGGTAAGAGCTGTATGAGTCCCCAACAAAATGATTAAAATTTTTTTAATTAAAAAAAAAAAAAAGAATGGAGACACATTCATCATCAAAGAAATTATTTCAAAATCTATCTTGAAGTACAATGCTGTCTGTAATAGGATAATATCTATACGCTTAAATAGAAGTTCAATTCAAATTTACACACTAATCACTAATGTTACTGATGCAAAAACAGAATTATTCCAACATCTTCAGTCTGAAATTGATCAAACATGCGATCAATATGCATTGATAATTATTGGAGATTGAAATGTGAAAGTTGGAAATGAAGAGAAAGAACCGGCAGTTGGAAAACGTGGCCTTGATGACAGAAATGAAATTGAACAGAATTTTGTAAGACCAACAACCTCTCGATTGCAAATACCTTAATCAACAACAGAAAGGGCCAAGTATCCATGTGGACTCAGCCGGATGGAACACCCAGACATCAGAGTGACTATCTGTGGGAAGACATGGTACAGAAACTCCGGATCGAACAAGGTCGGGAGAGGGTGCTGACTCTGGAACAGACCATCCGATGCTCATATGCAAGCTCAAGGTAAGGCTGAGCACAATTACAAGTCCATGACAGCCAAAATACAAGTTTGAACATATTCTGCCTAGATTTAGAGTACATCTCAAGGACAGATTTGAAATAAAATGTCAGCAGCTCGGAGCCATTAGCCACTCTGTGGGATATGTGGCAACCTGCCCTTTTTAAGACTGCAGCCTAGCAAACCCTATGAGTTTCTACTGTGTCATGTGTCAACATTGACTAGACAGCATACACACACTACAGAAAACAGCAGAAAGTTAGAAATCCTCTTAGTGTTGGCAACAGTTAGCAATCCCAAGGGATTTCTATAGAGCAATAAAAAAGGACACTGGATACATGAGGGCAATGAATGTACAAATGTGCTTTACACAATTGATGCAATGTATGGATTGTATGTGCCCCTAATAAAATGATTTTTTAAATGACACTGGATATTGAATAAGGAAGACTGAAGAAGAATTGATGCTTTTGAATTGTGGCACTGATGAAGTTTATTGAAAGTATCACGGACTGCTAAAAGGACAAATAAATCTGTCCTGGAAGATGTACGGCTGGGAATGACAAGGATTGCTAGATTTGATCTCAAATGCTTTGGACATGTTGTCTGGAGAGACCAGTCCCTGGAGGACATCATGCTTGATAAAGTAGAGGGGCAGTGAGAGAGAGGAAGGTCCTCAATGAGATGGATGGACACAGGGGCTACAACCATGAGCTCAAGCACTGAAACAATTGTGAGGATGGCCCAGGACTGGGCGGTGCTTCATACTGTTGTGCATGAGGTCACTAAAGGTCGGAACCAACTCAACGTCCCCTAACAACAACAATACTCGTAGAAGTAAAGTGTCTGACAAGAAATAGCATGTGTAGTACATTAAGTGCAAAAATAAGTTGAAAGCATGCAATATATATATATGTGCATGTAAAGTGTAGAACCCTATCTCTCTGTGTCTTTATATGAGGCTGGAATACCAAGGATAACTTTTTAATGACATGGAGTTCATAGAACAATTTCTGATCTATGGTCACAAATGAACTGGTATGGCGTTTAAGGGCTCAGCTACTAACCAAAGGGTTGGAGATGTGAACCCACCAGCTGCTCCACACAAGAATGGGATGGCAGTCTGCTTCTGTGAAGATGACGTCACTAAGAGATGCCATGGGGTAGCTCTAGTCTAGGGTCATTTTAATCAACTCGCTACCAATGGATCTATGAGCTATATGAAAACCTATGGAGCCAGAACCTGTATAAGGTAGAAATTCATGAGAAAAGGAAACGTAAACTATATTCCACTAAAAGGAGTAATAAAATAAGACTTTACCCTTCAGAGGAATAAAGACTGTGAGTCTTAATAAAACAAAGTAGTCCCATCGAGTTGCAGTTCTCAGAGGTTTCGATGTATGTATGTACATATACAAATATATGTACATAAACAAATATACGTAAATCTACATGTTTTCATAATCCACCAAAATAAAGAAACTCACTGCCCTTGAGTCGATTCTGATTCACAGTGACCTTCTGCAGGCGTTCAGGGCCATAAATCTTCACAGGAGTAGACAGTCTCATCTGTCTCCTGTGGAGTAGTGGGTGCGTTTCAACCACCAACCTTGCAGTTAGCAATCCAATGCTTACTCAATGGCACACCAGAGATGGTACAGGTAAGGGCTCACAACACAGGGAATCCAGAACAGATAACCCCCTGAGGACCAATAAGGGGAGTAACGATACTAGGAGGGTAAGGGGGGGTGGAGTAAGGGGGAACCGATCACAATGATCGATGTATGGCTCCCCTCCCAGGGGGACGGACAG